TAATCTCTGATAAGATTTCTGCCATATAATTTTGAAGTTTTTACCTGCAGGAGTTCACGGGATTGGTGATGTTAATGCTTCTCAGCTGATCTTGAAATTTGGCATGTTCCTTATTCCCTTCACTTCATATCAAACTTCTTAATTTACCAGAAGAATAGTCTTGTTCATTTTTTATACATGTCATTATTGTCTTTTAATTTTGATTCACTGGACTGGAACACTACCCCTTCTTGTTATTTATTACTGTCTTCTACGTGGATAGGAACACTTGAAAACTTGCTGGATTGTGTTGAACAAGTTGAGGATGAGCGAATCAGGGAGGTAGTTAATTGCTTCATATTCATTTCCCCGTCATATTCTGTCCTTGACCTCTCAATATAAGCTGTAATTTGATCATTTCAGGCATTAATATCAAATGCCGAACAGGCTAGATTAAGCAAGAATCTGGTATGCATCTGTTTTGTTCTTCCTCGGTATCATTTCCTTTATTGCCCCTGCCTCTGACCCTGCAGCTATCTGATCAGAAAATGAAAATTTATCCACCCCCCAAAACCTCCATCATCCTTGCAGGCATTGTTACGCTGTGATCTTCCATCATACATGGTCCCTTTTGCCACCGACGATCTGGTATTTAGAAAGCCAGAGGTAAGTGCATATTATGTCTCCCAATCAGCATTCTGAAAATTCACACGCACTTCTGTTCAAAGTACAGTTTCTTTGAATTCTTGGGAGCGATTTAAATTTCAACTGCAAATATTGAACCTTTTCGCGATATCCATTTCCCATTTGCTGCTTAACTGGATAAATTAAACCTACACAGGACAATGGGGAGAAATTTACAAGCCTCTTGACAGCTATAAGTGCTTATGCTGAAGGATTTTCAGCAGATTCCATAATCCGAAGAGCGTTTTATCTGTGGAAGAAGATGGAAAGGCAATAGATGAGCTCCAAGATTAACAAGTTGCTAATGGAAGTCTTCAATTCTTTGGTGATTGTTGTTAAAAATTGCAGAGTTGTTGGATTGTTGTACAAAGTAGTCACAAGCAATTTTGTCTGTAATTAATTTACTCAAAATTCTATATAGATGAAGGGTACTTACAGTGGTTCTTTTTATACTACCTTAACATGTTTTTCAATTTTCTTTTGATATGAAACCATCTAAGGCTATTTTTTTTTTTATTTTTTATTTTGCATTAGAAGGGGGAAACCCAAAACTGTTAAACAAGCTAGCTAAAAGACTGATTGCGCCAAATAGGTACGCCATCTAAATCATCAAACAAAGCAAATAAAATTTCGTCAGTATTTGGCTTTGAGCACTCCAAAAAGCACCATGTCGTCAGCGAAGAAGATGTGGGATAAATGGGGGCTATCACTTGAGAACTTGATTCCTTTCCAGCAGCCTGCATTAGTAGAATCATCAATCACATGGCTAAATTGGTTCCGTACATAAAGCAAAAATAAGAGGAGAAATGGGATCTCCCTGACGAATTCCTCTTCCCGGATGGAACCATTCTGACCGGTTCTCATTCCAGTTGATGGCTAATCTTGAGGTTGTGATGCATGACATAATATTCCTCCTCCATTGGTGGTTGAGGCCAATGTCTAGAAGAGGGTCCTCTATAAAATCCCATGCTAACCTATCGTAGGTCTTTTCCAAATCCACTTTAAGCACCATCCAACCCACTGAACCCTTTTTAATCCTCATAGAGTTTAAAACCTCTTGATAAACAATGATGTTATCTGTGATCTGTCTGCCCGGTACGAAACTTGTTTGATGGGGGCCGATAAGCTTCTTTAATATTCGTTGTTATAATTTAAAAATTATAACAAATGCATTCAGAAACAATAAACTTGCATAGTGTGGTGCATCCTATTCATGCACCTTTAGTTTTTGTGCATGACTAGTGTGAGCAACAGTTGCAAACAGATGTCCACTTCCAATATTTTTTGATGGGAACAACTAACCAACTCATCAGACAATAAATAGATCAGAAGGTTGTTACAAGTTTTAAATTTTAATAATGATCATATTAATAATCCAAATTGATGGTCATAGGTTTGAACGTGTTCATGAACATACTTGTTAACGAACATGTTTTTGAACGTGTTTGTTAATGTTAACGAACACGTTCGCGACGTGTTCATGGACGTTAGCAAACACGTTCGTGAACATGTTCGTTAACGTTAACGAACACGTTTGTGAACATATTTGCGAACGTTAACAAACACTAATGAACGCTTAACAAACAAACACGAACATGATTTTTGAAAACCTTAACAAACGAACACGAACACGAACACTCAAAATCCTTAACAAATGAACACGAACAACCTCCATTCGTTTATGTTCGGTTTGTAAATAGCCCTACCTATAAAATAATATACACGGGAAGAATAAAATATAAAAACAGACATTTAGTATATTAAAAATGAATATTTATTGATGGTTCATTAGCTTCACGTTGTAATGAGGACATCTGATGCATTCCCTGTATCTATAGAAAGGATTTTGATGGGACAAAGCATTGTAGTGCTGATGAACTATGCAAGTTTATTGTAACATCTTAATTAAGATAGAAGCATGATAAACTTATGGGCTTGCATTGAAACTTGAAATAAATGATATATTAGAGAACCTTTTTTTTTTTTTATCACGGGGTGCTGATACTGTAATTTATGAAAGGTTGGTCAGTGGAGATTATGATACGACAAAATGAAAATAATAATAATAATAATAATAATAATAATAATAATAATTATTATTATTATTATTACTATTATTATTATTATAAGAAAGTTAATAATAATAATAATAATAATAATAATAACAACGAAAATGAAAGGAAACAAAAACTTAGTACATAGTTCGATTCGAACCTTCCGTTGTTATCCTTACCTAATTCCCATCACTTTTCTTTTCCATGTTATTACGATTGTGTATTTAATTGGACAATGTATACTTTGAGTACATGAAAGACAATTGTTTGATTCCCATTATTTACATTCTTTGCTATTATACAACACCTACAATTAAAACAAAAAAAGTCATTAGAGAATTGAAGTGTAACGTTTTTCTTACTGCTTTTGGGATTGTGTGAGGAGTGAGGAGATCCAAAACTTAATGAACACGGAAGGCAATTGTCCCCATTTACATTCTCTGCTACTACAACACACGTAAACTTATATATTGAGCTAAAAACACAAAACATTGGAGAAATTGTGTGTCAATTATTATTTGTCTTATTTTCCTGTTAATTAGATTTAACACATCTTGACCCCCCAAGACAAGAATATTATTATTCCTCCAACCTGATGCCACTGTCCTATATGAAATAATATACACAGAAGGAAGAAGAAAATGCCTTGTGGGAAAGAAAAATAAATACAAAAAGCAATAAAATTTTCCTTCCCAACAAATCCAGACTATATACACTCACATGTTGTACAGAATATTCTGTAGTCCATCAGACTTGCATGAAATTATTATCTGTTTTAGTCAATATAAATATATAACAAACCAAGAGCTTTAGAATTTACAATTCCCCAACGTAACAAATTTGAAGCACTGAATTTCAAGGTTCATCACTGCTTCAGGCAAGAACTGTCAAACTCATACACTAATAGGGCGCGTTTAGTTGGAGGGAGGGAATTATGTGGGAAATGAATTGTAATTCCATGGGAGTTGAATTACTGGGAATAAAGTGGGAATTTAAATTCCAGTGTTTGGTTGACAGGAATAAAATTACTGGGAATTTCAATTCCAGTGTTTGGTATACATGGGAATTGAAAGGGAATAAGTAGTATAAAGTCAAAAATGTCCATTATTGTTGTTAGACATTAATTTTAGGTTAAAAAAAGGAATGGGTAATTTTGACTCATCACTATCTTTTTTTTCCCAGGAATTAAAATACCAGGGGGGACATGGGATTTTAATTCCATGAAAATGGGGGAATTGCAATTCCATGGAATTGCAATTCCCTCCAACCAAACTACGGAATTTAATGGTTTTTGGAATTAGGTGGGAATTAAGTGGGAAGGGAATTTAAAATCCCTCCAACCAAACGCCCTTGATGTCCAGGAGTTCATGGAATTGCATGTATATCCCACTTGAATTTTAGGTACAACTTAGCTTATATTAGGTAAAAACTTCAATATGGTATGATTGATTACCTTTTACTTAATTAGACGTTGGGAAGAGTAATAACAAGACCCTTTTAAATTCTAGCTTCATTAATAACTAGTGGAATATGAATACACTTTTTGTCTAAGAAAGATGCAAATCAATTTGACCTGAGTAGAAACATGGCATCCAATTTGAAACTGAAGCGATTTTAACTTAGTTTCAAATCATAGTCTTGAAAAATAGCAATTAAAGAGAAAAATACCAACCAGATAACACTCAATTCAAAACTATGAATTAACTACTTTGAAAGGGTAGTCTTCAAAATTTTAGAACTAATTATAAAAATAAAATAACACCACACATTGGTACTAGTACTGCAACATACAAAGTAAAAGATAAGCACAAAACTCAGTGAGAAAAATTAAACAGAAAATTTTCCAGGCCAGATGAGGTATCAACAGAAGCCAAAAACTAATCATCATTCTGAACCTGAGGTATCAACAATCTTCTAGGGATAAGCTCCTCATGACGGCGAGCACAGTGAGTACCTACTATATATTTTTAAGTTGCTTTGTTAGTAATTAGCTTATTCATTTATTCCTAACTAGGGTAAGTATGCCTATAAATACCCTAAATTTGTATTGTTCTTGGATATTTTGGCTTTTTGAATAATGAATAAATATTTTGTTTCTTTTTAATTTGCCTTAAAACACCTATCTCTTCTTGCCTATCTCATGCAAACTCCATTGTTGATTGCTTGGTATATTGTTCTTCTCCTTTGATTTGTGGGAGATAAGGTTGTTCCTAAAAAATGTGCTAGGTCATTGATAACCATCCTAGGGGTTTGCATTCAAAATCAAGTTATAAAACTATAAAATTACAATCAACAAAAAAAACACTTGATGAATTAAATTTTTTCTATCCCATCAGCAATGGTTTTAAAACCCTGAGAATGTAGATTGTCCATACAAACAATGAGGAGCTGAGCCATACACTAGAAACTTCACAGATATTTCCTTATAACATTAAAAATCTTTTCCAACTAAAATCCTTGTGCCAGACACCCCTGGTGGAGGTGGATTGCTTTGGTGATAGGGCTCTCGAGGCCCAACGGGACGATGGGGAGTGAGATGGGAGGTAGGGGAAGGGGGTGGAGGTGGGTTGCTTCGGTGATATGGCTCTCGGGGCCCAACGGGGCGATGCGGAGTGGGATGGTAGGTAGGGGAAGGGGGTGGAGGTGGGTTGCTTGGGTGATAGGGCTCTCGGGGCCCAACGGGGCGATGCGGAGTGGGATGGTAGGTAGGGGAAGGGGGTGGAGGTGGGTTGCTTGGGTGATAGGGCTCTCGGGGCCCAACGGGGCGATGCAGAGTGGGATGGTAGGTAGGGGAAGGGGGTGGGGGTGGGTTGCTTGGGTGATAGGGCTCTCGGGGCCCAACGGGGCGATGCGGAGTGGGATGGTAGGTAGGGGAAGGAGGTGGGGGTGGGTTGCTTGGGTGATAGGGCTCTCGGGGCCCAACGGGGCGATGCGGAGTGGGATGGGAGGTAGGGGAAGGGGATGGAGGTGGGTTGCTTTGGTGATAGGGCTCTCGGGGCCCAACGGGGCGATGAGGAGTGGGATGGGAGCTAGGGGAAGGGGGTGGAGGTGGATTGCTTTGGTGATAGGGCTCTCGAGGCCCAACGGGGCGATGGGGAGTGGGATGGGAGGTAGGGGAAGGGGGTGGAGGCGGGTTGTTTTGGTGATATGGCTCTCGAGGCCCAACGGGGCGATGGAGAGTGGGATGGGAGGTAGGGGAAGGGGGTGGAGGTGGGGTGGGCGATTTAGGCGGGGAAGGAGGAGTAGGAGACAATGGCGGTGGTGGCGGCGATTGAACAGGCGGCGTGGATTGTGATCCGAGGGGATTCACAGTTTGCTGCGACTGCACTGCACCAATCGTGAGGAAAAAGATGAAAACTGATCCCCATAGTGCTCCCTGCATCTCGATCAAATTCCGATTCAACTCACCTAAATTCAAAATCATATCATATAATTAAATCAAAATTGATTTAATTTGTTCATCCGATTAGTGATGACGTGACTGTTACTGAATTTAAAAGTATTATTTTAATTTTATATTAATAAAAAAAATTTTAAAAGAAAAAAGCAAAAATGTAACTCTCCCAATCTACCTACGGAGTATTATGATTTACTGGTTGGATGTAATGCCATGCCAGAATTATTGGTAAGTTTTGTTCTCCAACTTAATATGACATGGTGGACCATATCCTAGCTAGATTACATAACACTATACTTGCTCCATCATATTCTTGTTCAGCATGATATCTTTCTGGGTTATCGAAGCTCTCTCTCTCTCTCTCTCTTTACCTAAGAAACTAAATATGGCTACTGGAATACAACAATGAAGAAGCAAGCACACTAAAGTAACAAACTCTGGCAATAGAAATATATACCTATTGATTCTGGAGCTCCTTCTTCTTCTGATCTTCTGGAACTCTCAATTGGGGATGACGGAAGGCAGCATGCTACGCTGAGTTGCAGAGAGAAACAGAGAAATGTGAAGGAGAAGAGAGTTTCTTTATGGTAAAACTTATTCTGATGGATAACCAGAGAAGGCAAGCTAACGTATATATAGATGGGGAAGAGGGAACGTGTATGAAGGGAGCTAGCTGAGTACTATGTATATTATTGAGTATGCAGATTAAACTTCTCGTGTATGATTTGACATCAAACAAAAAAACTGAAAAAGGAAAAGAAAATTTCAAGATCACAAGCAACATTGTATATAGGGTAGTTGAAAATGTCAAAATGCATGTAGTGGTGGATATATATAAGTATATAAGTGTATAACAGCATATATGCATGCCATTCTCAACTGTACTCTCTCTTCAATTCCATGGAGATCATAAATCATAATACATAGACCACCCCATTTCGCAAATTATGTTGTGGACTCGTGTTCACAATGCATTGTAGACACGAATCCAAAATGACGGCATTCCAGTTAAAAAAAAAAAAAATTGATTTTGTCTCGCCGTTAACGGCATTATTCGTTTGTGGAATTATGAATGTACAGTTAGGAATTATGAACACCAGAGCTCTGACATTATGAACTTACAATTATGAACATTAGTGATAAAATTATGAACATAGAACTCTAAAATTGTGAACATAGAGCTTCGAAAATTATGAATTTACAGTTATTGAATTATGAATCTACAGTTACGGAATTATGAATGTACAGTTATGGAAGTATGAATGTACAATTATGCAATTATGAATGTACAATTGTGGAATTATGAACACAGAGCTCTGACATTATGAACTTACAATTATGAACATATAGTAATAAAATTATGAACATATGCTCCTATAACAAAGCGGTATGAAATTTAAGAAAAAGAAATTAAAAAAAAATGGTGAAAAATAACGGTATCAATAACGGAACCGTTATCGTGTCCACAATGCATGCTGGACACCGGTCCATAGCATAATGATTGACATTTTTGTACTAGGTAATTTGACCCTGTGGACCCTACCCAAAATCCCATGTCATCCTCTCTCTTCATAGAATGCAAATATTCAACTTATTTTATAATTATGCACAATTTTTAAAATATAATTTATTACTTTAGGTTTAAGTTAATACCTCTAATAGTCCTTCAAGTATTTTAGTATTATCAATAAATTAAACGTCCTTCAAGTATCAAAAATTGACCACATATGATTTTCCGTTAGCAAAAACAATTTGTAGGGTAAAGGTGTCATTTCATAAACATCTCTCCTTTTTAACCTTGGTACATATATGCAAGTAACAAACTAATTTTAAAGTTTTTTTTTTCAAAAAAAAAAAAAAAAAAAAAGTCAAATATGAAGTCGAACTATACATGTGCAAAATTATAATTTAACATAAAGTGACATGTTTATCCCGTCCTGTTGACGTAATGATTACTGTATTTTAAATTTATTTTCAATTAATTTTAAAACTTTTTAACAAAATATTTTTGCAGATTGTGGTACCAAAGAATAGTAGTAATTAATATATAACATAAGGTAAGAAGAATTACAAACAGCTTGTTTGGTAAATGATTTTTGGCCTAATTTTTATTTTTACTATTATAAAGAATGTTTATAATAGTAAAAATTGATAATTTTTGTTATAAAATAAATTAATATCCTCAAAAATAATTTTACATGTTACAATCAAAACTTAATAGCTAACTTTGTCAAATTCTTTATACAATCAAATTTTTAATGAACTATTAAAAGTAATCTTTATCTTAACCACCCAAGAATAACCAAATGTGCGTTTGCCGGGAGTCGAACCCGGGTCTATTGCTTGGAAGGCAATTATCCTAACCGTTGGACTACAAACGCTTGTTGGTTGGTAAATATAAATTAATAAAATTTCAACGGAGCCAATTTATCGGTTGGAAATTGACCAAAAATTAAGTAAAATTGCGTTTGCCGGGAGTCGAACCCGGGTCTATTGCTTGGAAGGCAATTATCCTAACCGTTGGACTACAAACGCTTGTTGAACTGTAAACATAAATTATAAATAATATTTATTATTTTACTTTTCTTTTTTTTTTTTTTTTTAATAATACGGTACAGGCAAACAGAAGAGAAAAGAAAAAAATAATAATGAAAAATGAAAAAATACTACTACTCTACTCCGTTTAAAAAAGAATGTAACAATGTATGTGAGTGTGTATAGGCTATATGTTTATTAGCTTGCTGTTCTCCCATTCCCATGGATATATGTTGTAGTGAGATCAACCAGCGGGTTGCTTAATTGCATGTTTTCCGGGCTCCGGCCTGTGCCGACGATATGATCAATGGCCGGGCCCCTTGGCGCTGGGTCCGGACGGCAACATTTCCAGCCAACTCGACAAACTCATCTTGGCCTGCTCCAACACCAGGTGGTTAGCCGCCGCGAAATCCTGAGACAACACCCTTCCCGCCTCAACCTCAACTCGCCCCGCCAACGCCACAAACACAACTAAGATCACCAACAAACTGCTCGCTCTCCTGTAATCCATTATATTATATAATAAGGTTTCAATTCAAAACTGGCGAAAAATAAACAATATTTTGGATGGATCGGTTGGAGTTGGTAGTCGCTCGGTATGATCTGTTTTGTTTGGTTAGCTTGGAGAATTTATGTATGAAAATATAAGGCCTGGGAAGAGGTATATATATAGGTAGATTTGGTAGGGTGTTGTTGGAAACAATGGAAACACGTTACGTTGAAAAAGCAGAATTAAGTAGCTAGCGAGCGAGCAGATTTAGGTAGTAGCAGTATAAGTTGAATGGGAATCGGACGGAGCTAGCTAGTAGCTAGCTAGGCCGGGTATAGTAACGTGTTGACCATAAATGCAATTCAACACCCACTGCATTGCATATTATATTGTTGATTTTTGAACAAGTCATGCATGCCCATCAGCTCCTTGATTTTTGCGTTATGATGACCAATATCTATCTCTTTTAATAACAATCTAAGTCAACACAACTAACCTTTCTTCAAAGCTAGATAGTAAATTAGTAATAATAAGATGGCTACGTACGTAATACTACATCAGCTCTCCTTTCTACTCGATTTTTTTACACCATCCTATATGCATGACTTTGTAATTTATATTGTATTTGGTCTTACTATACCATCCAATTTTCTGGTCAACTATTGTCGGAATTTCAACGAGAAAAATAATTTTTTCAGTAATAATTGGTCAAAAACTTCGCCAGCAAATTGGACGATATGACCAAATGATATAGTCATACACCTAATTTGAAAATATTAATAATTAAGAATTAAATGTGATATATACAAATTACATAGTGATGCACCTAATTTAAAATTATTAATAGTCAATGACCAAATGTGATACATGTATAATAGTCAATGGACGAAAAGTGAATTTTTTTTATAATGTGTATTAGTATAACTAAATGTCACATTGAAATGAAATCCTCGTTTACTAGGATTTCCAAACTTAAAATCATCGGATTTGTACTACATACGGTCTTGAACAACTTCATGTTTGACGAATTAGAGGCGGCGTGGATGGGGCATGTAGTTTGAATAGAAGGCCGCATGAGATTTGACTCCGCGCTGCTGCAACACAACAGCTGTTCAAGTTCAAGACCACGTGTTTCAAATTCCAAATGTGACCCTCCGACCAAGTAAAATCCCGTCTTAGTTTCAAGGGCAAACCCGACATTGTCTCAGTACAGGGTAGGTAACTTAATTTCTAATTTATTAGGCGGAAAAATGTGGAATTTTGAATTGACTGTGGAAATTCTTAATTTTGAAATGATCCCCGGCCCTATGAAATTGTTGGCAAGAAAAATATACCAATATCAATACCAAAAATAATCAAATTGGCCAAAATATTAAAAATATGAACCAAAATTATTTAATTTATATAAGAGTGATACTATACTTCTCTCCTCATTTCACCTCCTTACATGACAATATAATAGGTGATTGGTTTTTTATTTATTAACAAGTAAAAAAAAAATTAAGCGGGGCATGCATATATAGTCAATCAATTCATGGTATAGTAAACATCAATGAATAAAAAATAATATTGTTGTGTACGAGGTGAACGTTAGGAGATAAACTTACTATAAGGGGAAAATAGTTGTTTCAAAAAAAAAATTGGGGGGCTGGGGAATAGATTTTTTTTTTTTTTTTTTTGGTATAAACTTGCATTGAGTACTTTTAGCAAGGAAAAGTGTATAAGAAGTTAGCCTATATAAGTATATATGATAATTTATTTTGATTTTACAATTAGAATTCTGTACAATTAACATATTCTTTTTCAAATTAAAGTAGCTAGTCTAAATGTGTGGATCTTCAAATTACTTGGACTAGAAAAAATGAAGTTCAAATAAGGTGGCTAACACACAAAGATTAAGAACACATTAGTGTGCCATATTAAATTAATTAAGAGATGATAAGTCTTACAAATCTCTATACTACAATTAATTAAGTTATTAATTATTAAACCGTTTGGGAAAATATTACTTTTAGTTCATCAAGTGTAGCAATAATATTTTAATTTTTAAGCAAGGACTATTAATACAATTACTTTTTGTTTCAAAATATTATATTATAAATCTAAAAATATAATAAGTGACGGTAATAACGTTACCGGTAATAATATAATATAATAATGCTATAAGAGAGTAACAATAGTTGTATTGCTTCTGTCTCAGTATCGAAAGTACAGTCCCCCCTGCTCAGCTGAGGGAAGTTCTATTTATGCTAGGTCCTAACGGTAACAACATGAAGAGACATCCTTGGGGAGCTGAGCTAACGGCAAGAATATGAAGAGTCATGAATGAGGCGTTGAGGCTTTAACTCTCTCTTATCACTGGTGGCGTCAATGGTGGCTTCAATGACAATAAATGTGACACCTGTTGGAATTCTAACCGTTAAGGCATCCATGCGGTGTCGGGTCAAATATGGTGCCGTGCCAGATGCACACTTATGATCCGGGTCGGGTGCCAGCCCTATTATCCTGTCACCAGTCCCCCCTACTCCTGAGTATACGAATGTGTTTGAGTTGACTTGGGAGTAAGGCTGAATCAATGGTGATACTGTGCCATCCTGATTGAGTTAGGATATGCGATTTTGTTTTCCA